CTCTACAGCTTCCTCTTCAATGCCTCAACCTTTCTCTCTTCCATAGTCACCCTGGCCAGCTCCTCTGCAACAGATGCATCAACAGTAACAGTGGTCTTAGTAGATGTCTTTTTCTGCTCCTGACCTTAGTAGGAATAATCCCTCCAATGGCTCCACATCCATCATGATGCTGACTTTATAACCCAAATATGTTTTTCATATATGCGGAATTTTGTTATAAGAATAGATGATGAATTTAGTTGAATGCCTTTTTAGTATCTGGGAGTGTGATGTATTTATGAGTTGCCATCCATATTCATGAGGGAGATGGTTATTGATGAGCTTTCCAGCTGAGTAGCTACCCTACCCCACAGCATGCAGCAAGGGATCCCAGGTGCTGTTAATACGTTCTGTTGAGTATGGGTGCCATCACTCATCCTCACTGCCACGCTCGCGTCCAGAGCAATGCTTGACACTCGAAAGGTGAGTGGGAAGCTGATGTTGTATAAAAACTAATATCCAAACTTACTAAGCTGGCAGATTTCAGTGGATAATTCCTTGCATTTCAACAAGATTGCTTTTCTTCATAATAAGAGTCATCAATCTTTCTGTGCATGACAAGCACTTCTCATGGACACGTAAACATAGACCTAGGGTAAAATGCTCATGAAAATTATTCAGACCATACACTCAAACTCTTGTGCTGAAAATATGCTACCAAGAGGAGGTGTCGTTCTTACTAAGTGGAACATATAGGCAAAGTAGGCAACCTGGTAAGATGCCAGGGTTCAGGAGCCCACTGCCTCTCTGAGTGAGATGTAGTCGTCACATCCTTCTCAATCAGACAGGAAGGCTGGGGTCATTTAACCGTCTCTCTGCATTGTTGGTGCCTGTTAACATCTGTAAAAAGAGTTCTTAGGGGAGATCCTACACTGTATGGAAGGATGAACCCTTCCAATGCCATCGTATTTGAAAATGCTGTGAGCTAAAGCGCCCTTGGTATTTTATCACACTTCACAGAGGCATTTTAAAATGTATTAATGCTGAGGATTCCCGAAACTGGAAATAATTCAGAAATTTCAAAAGATCTGTCTCCTGAGCTGAGTCACTGTAACATTTACAAAGGGGCTGTGCAAATGAGAAACAAATTATTCAAATACCCAAATTCCATTTAGCTGTGACATTGTCATTATTTCAATGAATACTTTTTTGGAAAAATTATGTTATTAATTAATTAGCTTTGATAGTTATACCCCTGGCAGATGTAGCTAGGGCCTTGTGGGGGGCGGTGCAAATGCTGTACCACCTGCCTGCCTTTCACTCTTTGTTTTGAAACATAGTCTCATTACATTTCTCCAAGCTGGCCTTGAATTCACATCATGTAACAAGGCAGCCCTGAATACTTTAGCCTCCTGGGAGGGCCTACAGGCCCACACTACCAGGCCTGGCTGGGAAGATTTTTGAATTAAGAAAATTGGATGACTTGGAACAGATATGATAGTAGTAATTTATAAAGATTTATTAATAATGTTTGGGTATACATTGGTTTGTACCCATATCTTCTATTATGATTTTTTTCAATGAACTTTGGTGGTTCATGTTTTAGTTTGCACTTTGCATATCTTACTCTGTTAATCATCATAGTTAAGATATTTTGAAAACGCTTTTGCAAATATTGAGCACACTGTCCTATTTCTGCAAAACAAAACCCCAAGCTTCACTTTTAAATATATATGTGTATGTGTATATACTATATATGTATGCATAGTATATCTATTGTATATGTGTATATATATGTAAATACATATTTAAAATTCCTGGGCAAGTTCAGCAGCTTGCTGCTTTTATGTGACAGTGATATTAAAATCGTATATTTCTAACATTAAAGGGCAAAGGCATTCCAGCTCATTAGCAGTCTCTTCACAAAGCCTTTTCTAAGATTTTTTTATTGCAATGAAACACTGTACCAGGTTGCTAATAAATTGGTATAAGGATTACTTTGAAAACTTCAAGCTTTTTATTGTTTTCTTTTGCCTGCCAAGCTGCCAAATGGTGTCACCTACCATACTGGGACTTACCAAGACCGGTTAACAAAGCTACAGGACCATCTTCGCCAACTTTCTATTCTCTTCAGGAAGCTAAGATTGGTCTATGACAAGTGCAATGAGAGCTGTGGTGGAATGGGCCCCATTCCCGTTGAGGTAAGCTTCTCTGACAGGAGTGTGCGCAGCAGAGGTGACGGGGTGGGAACACCCGTAGTTTTTTTCTTTCTCCTTTTAGCAGCAGTCTCTGCTTTTAATATTATGTGTTTTACTTCTGAGGAGAGATAAAAAAAAAAAGTGAATATATGTGTTTTTCTTGAATGATTTTTGTAGCATTTGTTTTTCCAGGCCTGTAGTGATATTTTTGTGTTTGCTTCTGCGTTTGTTGGGATTTCAGTGACAGTGTTCTCTTTTATTAGTCTTAAGAGAAACACTTAGTTACCAGTGGCAGTTTTTACCAACGCTGAGAAAAGTTGTGTCTGAGTAGAATGTGATGGAAACAGTCGTGGCTAGAAGTCAGGACCCGGTGAAGATGCAGCGGGAAGTCATGAGTGAAGCCAGCTGTTGGAGATTGTCTGTGACGAAACACAGAGTCCCAGTGGTGGGGAGGGGGGAGTACCATTGTCTTCTGCCCCCAAATGCAAGAGCGCAGAGCATGTGGAAATGATGGAGCAGGAAATGTCTATGGAGAGTTTGGGGGAAGAAACAGAAGTCAGAGGAGTCAGTGCGAGGCCGGAGGCTGTCTTCAGACAGTTCTGCAGCAGGAGAATGCAGGCCAGGTATATGTGGCCCGAGAATACAAAATCTTTGCCAGGGGGATCCTGCTTTGACTGTTTCTTCACAACAATTTACCGTGATAGAGACTGGCTGGTTCCTAAAGTCCACCTCATTTACAAGGGGTTTCCTCCAGTGAGTGTCATCACAGGCCACACATAATTAAGTGTATTTTTGCTAGAAGCACCATTGCTCTGTGTATTTCTTACCTTATTTAAAAAAACAAAAAACAAAAAACAAAAAACAAAAAAACTCATACCTTAAAGAAACTAAGACAAACAAAAAGTCTTATGGCCACTGGAGTTCTGGGTTCAAAGTGTGTGT